CACCTACCCGGGGGAAAGGCCACTCGTCTTTGGGCACATAATGCAGTGAAATTTCCGTACAACATTCATGTACCTTCAATGGCCATTACATGTACTTTGTAGCCAAGGCAATGCAGATCCCAGCTTGCAATGCTGGAGTAGCCTGGTTTTAGTGTTAATGTATATGGAAATACCTGGTTTGGATATAAGCCTGATTTGAATGCAAGTTATACAGATGTACAAACTTCTGTACTTAGGTTGTAGGTGTGTTCATGCCCCAGTGGGTGTTCATTGTGCGCTATACATGCGCTTTTGACCAATTTAACCCGGTGATCAATAGCAGACAATCGCTTGTTCAGCTTCATCACTTTGGATAGAACTTAAGACTAACTAGATCTTGTCCAAAGAAGTGTTCGTATGAAATGCATTCAGGGCCCATTTTCTTAGCGGGAATAGCAGTAAATAGTAGGGTCCTGCATATTCAACAACCAACCAGGTCTACGGAATTCTACGAGATTCTACGAGATTTCGTACAAGTACATCTGTACCAATACACAGTACATGATTATGTATATCAAAAATGCTTGGATTTATTTACTGCCCTCTTTTTGAATATACACCTTTCGGTAGAAATTAAAGCTGTATTCGCAACTGGCATGTGTACGCATGAAACCACGCATTTGTGTGTATTTTGCTGGCTTTTGGGGCGTCATGCGTGTGGAAACGCGCTGAAATGGAAATTCGAACATGTTGTATTTTTCAGCGCGTACCGGCATACATGCCAGTCACTTTGACTGGTGGGGTCAAAAAAATTAGTACTCGAAGGCGTTGCATGCCCTAAATACGACTCGAATTGCTGATTTTTTGTGAAAGCCTAAGCGCGCGTTTGGGCACGCATGAACCGCAAGCATACCGCATCCAAGCGCCAGTTGTGAGCACAGCTCAATTCTTTTACTACATGTGTTCGGGGTTTTTTACAACCCAAAAGGTATATTCTACAAGAATGGTTCTAAAGTACCTGTCAAGCATACCTGTCATGTTTACAGGTGTACAAAAACACCCGATAGTAGTAGGCCAGCTCTATCTGGACATGCTCAAAAGTTCGTCATACACGAGTTGTACATCGTATCAGAGTGGGCTGTACCCGTAAAAGAAATTCACGGTTCACGTGAGACTCGGCTGTAGGCCGAGTTTCCCGCATCCGCAGGAACGCCACCAACCTCTTAAAGGGGAAGTATACCCTAAAATCAAATTTTCACCAGTTGTAGTCTTCTGGGTGCTGAGTCGAATGGTCTTGGTCCGAGGAAGCTGCGACGCTCCCTTCCTACTTGAATCCCAATCGAACTCGCGCACTTCCACCGAAACTGGGTGACTGCGCCCTACTAGATGGGGATTTGTATGCAAAATGTCACTAAAAGCGCCATTTCGTTCTTATAAAAGCACGGATGACCGCGTTTGGCCCATATGTTGTAGTCTTTTGGACGCTGAGTGGACTGGTTTTGGTCCGAAAAGGCTGCGATGTAGCGTTCCTCCTTTATTCCCAATCGAACATGGTTGAACAAGCGGTCACGTGCTTCTGCGTACACCAGTCACCTGGTCACCGTGCCTGCAGGGTACAACTTACTAGCCTGTTTGACCTTTTTTGGGTGCACTCCTGTCACTCGAGTTGAACTCGAGTTGAACCTTGGTGTGAAATTTGTCGCCTGATGGCGTGGTGACCAGGTGATTTGGGCACCCAGGAGCACGTGACCGCTTGTTCCACCATGTTCGATTGGGAATAAAGGAGGAACGCTGCATCGCAGCCTTTTCGGACCAAAACCAGTCGACTCAGCGTCCAAAAGACTACAACATATGGGCCAATCGCGGTCATCCGTGCTTTTATAAGAACGAAATGGCGCTTTTAGTGACATTTTGCATACAAATCCCCATCTAGTAGGGCGCAGTCACCCAGTTTCGGTGGAAGTGCGCGAGTTCGATTGGGATTCAAGTAGGAAGGGAGCGTCGCAGCTTCCTCGGACCAAGACCATTCGACTCAGCACCCAGAAGACTACAACTGGCGAAAAATTTGATTTTAGGGTATACTTCCCCTTTAAAGGGGAAGTATACCCTAAAATCAAATTTTCACCGGTTGTAGTCTTCGGGGTGCTGAGTCGAATGGTCTTGGTCCGAGGAAGCTGAGACGCTCCCTTCCTCCTTTATTCCCAATCGAACTCGCGCACTTCCACCGAAACTGGGTGACTGCGCCCTACTAGATGGGGATTTGTATGCAAAATGTCACTAAAAGCACCATTTCGTTCTTATAAAAGTATGGATGACCGCGATTGGCACATATGTTGTTGTCTTTTGGACGCTGAGTCGACTGGTTTTGGTCCGAAAAGGCTGCGATGCAGCGTTCCTCCTTTATTCCCAATCGAACATGGTTGAACAAGCAGTCACGTGCTCCTGCGTACACCAGTCACCTGGTCACCGTGCCTGCAGGGTACAACTTACTAGCAATCCTGTCACTCGAGTTGAACCTTGGTGTGAAAGTTGTCGCCTGCTGGCGCGGTGACCAGGTGATTTGGGCACCCAGAAGCACGTGACCGCTTGTTCAACCATGTTCGATTGGGAATAAAGGAGGAACGCTGCACACGGCTGTCAAGAAGCGGCAACTTAGAAAGATGGCGTCGGTTCGAGATGGCATGGTAACCGCGCACGTGCCGTGGTCCGTGACTTGCTCATGTATGCACGCAAATGCAAGTCACAAACTCACAAAGATCGTCTTTGCATTTGGAGAAAATATCTTTGACTCTCTTTGGAGGTTGGCGAGGTTTGCCTAATCTTTACTTGATTGCGATGCCGGTATGTCCTCTCAATAATTAGAACAAAGAGAGCTGATGATCGCTTCATTCCTGAGCAGAAGTAACAATCAACTCTCCTCCGTGTCCTCAGTGCCAAAGGCAGACGACTGCAATTCCACAACGCTCGTTTCACGATGATGGAAACAATAATCGTGTACTAGTACACACTTGGACCATTTGGTCATCCCTGTTCTAGCCGCTAGTCCGTCCAGCAAGCAGATATTGACTATTACGATAAGGACAACTGCGTGAACGAGGGCTCGCCCAGCAAATTCAATTCAAGACGTGACTCCAGTCAAGAATTAGGGTCTTTACTCGAGAACGTCACAAATACAAGTCAAGGCACCCCACAAAACTGATAGATGGCACGAACGAAAGACAAATAGGCTAGACAAAGTGTCCCAAGTGATTGAAAACAGCAGATCTACCAAATAAGACAGCTACATGTGCCTAAACAACGATTCCCATACAGTAGAGAGTAGTATCAGGCAGAATGAAAGCCTTGGAAGTGCACAAATACAGCCACGACCGCCACAAAAATTGGACGACCGCCACAAAAAAATTCTCATTGCTCTACCTCCTTGAAGGGTGAAAGTTACCAGTTATCCTATAGCGATGTCAGTTTATGCCTGTTGGAACCCCCCACAGCCCGCACGAAATACCTTTCAAATAATTCCAGGATGCAATTGCAGCTCCAGACAGGAGGAAGAAGAACACCGTGAAAAATAATGGCAACGATGCCCAAACTCTCGGGAAACGGCTGAAGTCTTCCTGAAGATGTTAACATTGAATAGCCATCGATTACCAGCTTGGTTTGGTGACTTTAGAACTGTTTTGAGACTTAGAACGAAGCGATATCTCAAATTTGATGGAATTGTTACCTGTCAAATGCGTGGGCGAGCAGGCCAGCTGACTGGTTATGCATGAACATGCATGAGCATGCATTGATTTTTCATGGTTCACGTGCAGAAAACTAAGTTGCCGCGATCCAAGTGCAGCTAACAGCCGTGTGCATCGCAGCCTTTTCGGACCAAAACCAGTCGACTCAGCGTCCAAAAGACTACAACATATGAGCCATTCGCGGTCATCCGTGCTTTTATAAGAACGAAATGGCGCTTTTAGTGACATTTTGCATACAAATCCCCGTCTAGTAGGGCGCAGTCACCCAGTTTCGGTGGAAGTGCGCGAGTTCGATTGGGATTCAAGTAGGAAGGGAGCGTCGCAGCTTCCTCGGACCAAGACCATTCGACTCAGCACCCAGAAGACTACAACTGGTGAAAATTTGATTTTAGGGTATACTTCCCCTTTAGAGGATCAAGGCGCGGATGCAGCTCCTAAGCCGTACCCATACACCTTTGTATAATATGATGTGCTTATGGTAGGAAAATCCGTGCTAGGAAAAAAAACCCATACTAACCAGGTGTACAGCTTACCCGGGCACGTAGTACACGAGATCTGCTGTGCATGAACTACAGTGCTGCTCAATGAAGTCTGATGGTGTGCGTCAAGTTTGCACCCTGCACCATTCCACAGCCCAGTGTTCACAGGTGTGGGGCTGCACTGCACCCTTTGCGTACTTGACTCATTCAATTGGATTTCATTGAGCAGCTCTGTAGGATGTTTGTTCGCTTGTTTTTCAATACTTGACAAAGGTGTAAGGCACCCATTTTACCATGCTCGCTCAAATAAATGTATCATGCAAGACACTGAAAAATAATACTTTGCACCTCTTCTGTGCAATCTTGATACCCCCCCCCCCCCCCCCCCCCTCTTTGAGATTGTGCCTTGCTACATGTACAATCCAGGTATCCATTTTAGTTTTGAGTGGAAGCTGGCCAGTGCTTGTAATGCTCCTCGGTTTACTGTGCTTTACCACGTAGCATGACATGCTCTTGGCTCTATTCCATTTGTCACTTCCCTGGCTTTTAGCGTGCATTTAAATGTGTGTGTGTGTGTGTGTGTGTGTGTGTGTATGCGTGTGTGTGTGTGTATGCGTGTGTGTGTGTGTGCATACATGTGTGTGTGTGCATGTGCATGCATGTGTGTGCTTGTGTGTGCTTGTGTGTGCATGTGTGTACATGTGTGTACATGTGTGTGCATGTGTGTGCTTGTGTGTGCTTGTGTGTACATGTGTGTGTACATGTGTGTGTGTGTGTGTGTGTGTGTGTGTGTGTGTGTGTGTGTGTGTGTGTGTGTGTGTGTGTGTGTGTGTGTGTGTGTGTGTGTGTGTGTGTGTGTGTGTGCATGCGTGCGTGTGCGTGCGTGCCCTAACATATTTGTGTTGTGTAGGAGTGACATGTACATTCACTACTTGAAGACCTCAACCACAGGTAAGATTATTTCTAAGGCAGGGCTCGAACGTGACTACAGTACCGTATTCCCCCGAATATAAGTCGCACCTTTGTACACTAAAATCCAAGGGTAAAGAAGGGGGTGTGGCTTACAATCAAGCAAGACTTACTGCTGAAGTCAATATATAAAATCAATATGGCTCGGCCTCAATATAGAGAAACCGAGTCTCACGCGAACCGTGAATTATTATTTTTTTTTATGGCTCAAACCTGAAAATGGGGGTGCGACTTACATGTATTATCGGGGAAATACGGTACTTCAGAAGTCTACAAGTAACGACTCCTGGGGCACATTGGATCTGCTCTGACCATAGCGAAATACAGTATCTGTTGGGTGGGCCCCTCGTGTTAAATGCTGATGTGACTGGGGTTTTTTCCTTCTTTTAGCAGCGGTAAGTTCCCAGCTGGGGGTGGGGGGGGGGGGGCACTCCAGTTAGTACCGGTGGATGTGTCACCCTGCTTTGAAGGAAACCACCCATACAAATTTGGACCCATACAAAACAGGGTCCAGGTGGATCCGAAAGTCAGCGTTTCATGACCCTAGCGTGGCTGTGGCGTAGTGCTTTCAAGTTTCAAGCCCTGTTGCCTCTGGAACAGAATCTACCTGAAGTTCTAATTTTGCAAGCATTCTAGATGATTACCCTATCTTCAACCTACAGTAAGATTGGGCGTCGAAGAACGCTGGGGCTCGAGGCACAGCCTAGCAGTGTTGAAAAATGTTAAACCTGCAAATCTAGCCTGAGTTGTTCTTCAATGTTTGCCATTTTCCAGCCTAAGTGTTCTACTATGAAGTATTCTTCGGCGCCCGATCATACTGTATTGCTGCATGTGCAAATTGTAATGAAGGGTACATGTATCATACTGTATTGCTGCATGTGCTAATTGTAATGAAGTACTGTATTGCTGCATGTGCTAATTGTAATGAAGGGTACATGTATCATACTGTATTGCTTCATGTGCTAATTGTAATGAAGTACTGTATTGCTGCATGTGCTAATTGTAATGAAGGGTACATGTATCATACTGTATTGCTTCATGTGCTAATTGTAATGAAGTACTGTATTGCTGCATGTGCTAATTGTAATGAAGGGTACATGTATCATACTGTATTGCTGCATGTGCTAATTGTAATGAAGTACTGTATTGCTGCATGTGCTAATTGTAATGAAGTACTGTATTGCTGCATGTGCTAATTGTAATGAAGTACTGTATTGCTGCATGTGCTAATTGTAATGAAGGGTACATGTACGCCGTGATACTTTAAAAACTATCACCATACCCCCCCCCCCCACCATTCGACCATTCGACCATTCGACCATCAGATAAAGTATGAATTTGTGGTTGCCCCGGTCATCACATGACGTACCCTGTAAAATTTAAAAGGTCTAATGCCTGGTTCACACTGGGCCGATTTTCCGGCCGACATGGACTCGTACGAAAAATCCTCAAGATCGGGGCGAAAATTGCGTGGTGTGAACTGTGTTGTCGTACAGGGTTCCGACAAATCTGCGGCGATTTTCTTGTCGCACTAGTTTTCGGCCAAGTATCGACTGGTCGATATTTAGCCGAAAAGCCGGCCGATTTTTACTGCTTGCACGTGATGGAGCGGTCATCGGACCAATCACGGTAGGCTTTTCACCATGACAGCAAAGAGCGTCGATGTCGAGCTCATGACCTCTTGTACTTTTGTACTCTTGAGTCTTGATGAGATGTAAAGTCCTACCAAAATTTCATAGCCCCCATGAACTCTTGCTTTTATGGATAATCGATGCGACTCTATTGCGAGTGAGTCGTTCCCCGTGTGTGAACAGGCCGTCCGACTCAGTCGACACAGTCGGCAGACTCCATGTCGGAGTCGGTGTTGGAGCACCGGCCGGAAAATCGGCCTAGTGTGAACCAGGCTTTAGGCCTGTGGGAGCTTTCCCAATCAAATTAAAAAATTAAATGTTTGTGAAGTTTAATAATACAGGGAATACAGTAAAACCTTGACCACCCCGCTGTTCGAGCAAAAGAGGTCGTTAAAGCCAGGAGGTGGTCCTTAGAACAAGATCCCTTACATTCGTGGTATCCCGGAATGTGCACTTGCTAACGTTAGTACACTAGTGATGAGTTCCAGAGCTTGCGGGACGGCAGTGTGGAGTATGTGGCAAGCGAGGAGGAGGCTGGAGGCTGTAACTGCTGCATGTGTCGAAGAATCCTGGCCTCCTGAAACCAGAGTCGGCACAGTCTCCTGGTGTGTTCATGTTGTGTGGTGATGGAACACCCATTAGATTGTAGGTGCTCATTTTGCTGCAATGTAGTCGGTGCAGCAATGCTGTAGTTTCTTTCATGCAACGAGCAGTGTTTGTCTCAAAATGGGATGCCTCATCAAAAAGATGTGTTGACCATCGCCTTACGTGGTAGATAGCAAACATAAAACGCGAGGTGCTGAGCAGCTAGTGTTGTCATGAACCTGGAAGCAAAAGAACACATTTAGACTCAAAGACCATTGCATGCTGTAGCCTTAGGTGGTCTTCACTACAGTGTACAGTCTTTCTACAGTCAGTGTACAGTCAGTGTTCAGTCAGTGTACAGTCAGTGTACAGTCAGTGTACAGTCAGTGTACAGTCAGTGTACAGTCGGTGTACAGTCAGTGTACAGTCAGTGTACAGTCAGTGTACAGTCAGTGTACAGTCTTTGTACAGTCAGTGTACAGTCAGTGTACAGTCGGTGTACAGTCGGTGTACAGTCAGTGTACAGTCAGTGTACAGTCAGTGTACAGTCAGTGTTCAGTCAGTGTACAGTCTTTGTACAGTCAGTGTACAGTCGGTGTACAGTCGGTGTACAGTCAGTGTACAGTCAGTGTACAGTCTTTGTACAGTCGGTGTACAGTCGGTGTACAGTCAGTGTTCAGTCAGTGTACAGTCAGTGTTCAGTCAGTGTACAGTCAGTGTACAGTCAGTGTACAGTCTTTGTACAGTCAGTGTACAGTCGGTGTACAGTCAGTGTTCAGTCAGTGTACAGTCAGTGTACAGTCAGTGTACAGTCAGTGTTCAGTCAGTGTACAGTCAGTGTACAGTCAGTGTACAGTCTTTGTACAGTCAGTGTACAGTCAGTGTTCAGTCAGTGTACAGTCTTTGTACAGTCAGTGTACAGTCTTTGTACAGTCAGTGTACAGTCAGTGTACAGTCGGTGTACAGTCGGTGTACAGTCAGTGCACGTAGAGCCGAGGTCACACATCGTTTGGCTAGCACTGACACAATACAAGTGATGCACTCGTACTCGTGCTTGCAGGTTGCCGCCTGCAAGGTGCACTCCACTGCACTGGCACATGGCACGGTGACTAGGTGCCTGGTGTACGCATCGGTACGGGATCAGGCACGGGACTGTGTTCAACTGCATTTCATTGGGAATAAGGGCCGAACGCTGGATCACAGCCTCTTCGGACCGAGACCATTCCATTTAAAAGCGTCAAGAAGACTACAGGTTCTGGGAGTTTCATGTTCATCCGTGCTTCCATGGCCATGAGAACTAAGTGATACTTTCAGTGAAATTTCCCACGCAAGTCCCTATCTAGAAGGGCACGCTCACCCAATTTCGGTGAAAGTGCGCAAGTTCGATTGGGAATGTGGTAGGAAGGGAGCGTCTCAGCTTCCTCGGACCAAGAACATTCGACTTAGCACCCCAAAGACGGTAACTGGTGAGATTTTGATTTTAGGCGATACTTGCCCGCTTCTCGCCTCTTGTGTTTGTATAGATACGACTCTGCACGTTGATTCATGGAGCTGCCCTGAGTCCCAACTGACCTTGATTGTGTCTTATGTTATAGGGGTCAAACGGGTGTACCTTTAACTAACGAACGGGTAATTTTCTTAACGGGCGGGTTAACGGGTACCCTTTAGCAGCCATATTATTTTTTTGCGCATTTCTCACATAAATCATGATTTTAATTTGTATATTCTCAGGTTGTATTTTGAAAACTACAATATATTTTCGCAATTGATTCGTGTATCATAATATTATTATGGCAATGAAGGTTCCAAATGAATGTCATCCGTGCATTTGCCCATGTACATAACTTCACAGGCAGTAACTACTTACAATCGTACATGTAGATGGTCCTACAAGCTACATGTATTTTGATACATGTATGCAAATCAACTGCAGATCGATGTGATTCAAGTCATGCAAGGACAGAGTGGTTTAGCAAAACTTCCGTGATCTCGCGCAATCCTATTTGCTATGGTCGCAGAGAAATGGTACTCGTTGCATTCAGAAGATGTTCGCGCCCATAGCTAGCTGGGGTGCCTGACACAGCTGATGTGCTGCTGGCCAGCTAGCTGCTAGTGCTAGCTTGTTGAACTCGTGAAATGAATCTTCACAAATCCGTAATCTTGTATGCAATATTTCGAACTACTTTTCAGCTCGTCGATTGAAGGAACAAACTACAACCATGAGTATCATACATGTAGCTACCACCTACGGACATCACCGTTTGTGACACTCCGACTGGTCACTCAGCCTGGTGACACTAGTTCATCAAGTACTGTGGCAGGTTCGATGTCGGAGAACCATCGTAACTTTCTAGTTACTCAGCTGCCACCTCGAACGTGTTTCAAGTCTTGCATTTTCTCACATCACAATCAAAAACCTCCAGTACGAGGATTTTTACTTGCACCAGAGTGGAGAGAACAACTGTCAAGTCTGTCTTTCAGCCTGCTCCTGCCTGATAAAGTCGAAAGCGGGAATGCACAGGAAAAAGGAAAAGAGTATCCGCACTCCTATTTTGAGTCTTGGAATACGACAGGATCACTTTTTTATTTTTATTTTTATTTTTATTTTTACAAACGGGTACCCTTTTACTAACGGTACCTGAGATTAACGGGCGGGTACCCGGGTACCCGGTACACCCGTTTGACCCCTACGTTATGTATGTGCACAACGTTGTGGCACTGGTGCAATACTCTGTACTCTTCTTGCAAGTGATGTTCTCGTAATTTTTTTGTTCTATTGTGGACATGTTTGTTTGTTCACAGTTCCTATTGGGCGCGTGAAGAAGTCTGTTCGTTCACCGACTTTCAGTCCATCTGGCAACACCTTGGTATGTAATAGAACTATGAAGACTCTTTGTGTGTGTGTGTGTGTGTGTGTGTGTGTGTGTGTGTGTGTGTGTGTGTGTGTGTGTGTGCGTGCGTGCGTGTGCGTGCGTGTGCAGTGCAGTACATGCCGGTGTATGTGGTGTGATGTGTGTGCGGGAAAAAAATGAAAAAGACCAAAAAGTAGGGGTTCACTGGCCAGAAAAAGCCACTTCATAGCGGTGTGGTGTAGATCAGGCTGAATAGTAGCGGTCAATTCATCAGCCTTGCAAGCTGTTGAATGGTGCAATCCCAGCACAAGTTGCTATTGCTTCTGCCATAGCATCGCTATCATCGCCTCTGGCGATGGGCGTCAAAAGGTCAAAGGTGGGTATGTGTGTGTGTGTGTGTGTGTGTGTGTGTGTAACCGTAGTAACTGTGGCTCCAGCTCATGCTGCTAACTTGTTGCCCACCGTGGGATTTCTTGAATAGCTGTGGCTAACAGGGGCATACTCTGCATTTGCAGCTTCATGGCAGTCAGTATTTGTTTGATACTTGCCATAAGCAGTGAGGCCACAATGGAACTTGGCCCAAACACTTCACTTCCTTGACCATGACTGTATGCGGATTGTGTGGGTGGTGTGGGTACTTTTGTCTTGTAGGTATTCTTGGAACAAGATGCACGTGGTCCACACCATGCTTGCAGCAGATTGATGCTGGTAAGAGTCTGTTTTGTGCAATGAGCCATGATCTTTATGCAGTGTAAGTGTTATGTAATAAGCCATGATCTGTAACCCTTTATGTACGGAAACAAGAACTTTTTAGTCACATTCTAAGGAGTTACTATTCCCAAGAATTTGGCTCCGTAGAGCAAAGTCTCTTCAAGATATGAATGGATTTACTTTTTGAATTGTGTGCACTATCATTCAAAAGAAATTCGCTCGATTTGAGTCTCATTTTGGATCACCCTAGCTCAATTGACGGCTCGATCAGAGCCACGACAAGTTTTTGTTTCGGAGGAAGTACATTTTGTGCAATGAGCCATGATCTTTATAAGTGGTGTGCAACAAGACATGATCTTTAATTCTTTGTAAATGTTGTGCAATACAGTTCTGTCTGCTGCCTAAGAGCCGTAGCAGAGTCGTAGCCTAGGCTGTTCTTATTTTTCATTTAGAAAAGTATATATATTATAGCTGAGCCACCATTTACATACTGGTATCCTGTACATGGAAAAAGATTAGCCTGTTCGTTCTTCACCTCATCGTTCTTCACCTCATCGTTCTTCACCTCATCGTTCTTCACCTCATCGTTCTTCACCTCATCGTTCTTCACCTCATCGTTCTTCACCTCATCGTTCTTCACCTCATCGTTCTTCACCTCATCGTTCTTCACCTCATCGTTCTTCACCTCATCGTTCTTCACCTCATCGTTCTTCACCTCATCGTTCTTCACCTCATCGTTCTTCACCTCATCGTTCTTCACCTCATCGTTCTTCACCTCATCGTTCTTCACCTCATCGTTCTTCGGCGCCCGACAGTACTGTAAGGCATGATATTTTTAAGTGTTGTGCAATACGCCATGACCTTTTCTTTCCCGACTCGGCGCCTAGTTCACGTTCGACGGGACGCGACGTAAGGATCGACGGGAAGCGATGGGGCGGTCTGACGGCGTTCAATGTGAACACCAGGAACGGGAACGCAACCGTACTACCGTACGGATCGGAAAGCGATGGGAAGAGTTGCATCAGTTCTACTTTCTTCTACTCCGAAAGTCACCCCGTCACGGGCCGTGCCTTATGACTCGCGCCGTTCGACGTTGAGCATCGCAACGATTGCTGCATATCGTGTCGTACGAATCGTACACGATTTTACAGCAGGCCGTTACGTCCCGTACCATCAGCGTTGCGTGGAATGTGAACCAGGCTTTAGTGTTTGCAAATGTGTACTTGTACATGGTGCAAGAGTGGAGCAGGGCTAATTTGTTGTATTTCTGAGTTTCATGCTCAGTGCTATCATCAGTGCTATCATCAGGCAATATGAGGGTGTGGTTGCCTGTTGATGCTGTTGAAGCTGGTAGTGTGTGCATGTATAATAACCCTTTGGGACTGCACTGAGGACCTTCGCACAATAAATAGACACGTTGTATTGTGCTTACACTACTATGGTGCAGTAAATCCCTGATACATAGTAGGGAAATGTATTTGAAGTACATGTACTTAGTGTCCAGTGTGCTGTGCAAGAAGGGTTGGCCTCAAGCCCGGCTCTTGACTCAGTATATCCAATATGTCCGGAGGGTTGATCTCAAGCCCAGCTCTTGACTATATCCAATATGTCTGGAGGATTCACCCAGTGTTCTGAGAGTGCTCAATACAATCATCAGGCAACATCCCTGCCTGATGATTGCATAGCATGAAACTCAGAGTTGCAACAAGCTAGCCTTGGGCCTTTTCGTTCTGTGTACATCCAATATGTCAAACAGCACGATTTTTAGAATCCTTCTCTCTGTGAATTGGCGAAGCACTTGTCACTTGCTCAAATTCCTTCGTAGAGGGTTTGGAGTTGTTCGAGTCGGCTGCAAGTCTGCAGTACAACGTTGGTATTGATGAGGTGGAGCAGAGCCACAGTTGAACCTCTTATGGCACTGCCGGTCACCAGCTCGTTAATTCCAAACACCATGTTGTTCTCTGTCTTATTCAATGTTCTGCAGTATGATTGGAGTAGCAAGACCACATCAATCTGTGTTGATCTTGTTCATAGCTCACCTGGTAAGTTGCTATATTATACACTGTCCGCACCGATCAATTTTAAAAAATATCCAAATTTTCTGCCAAGGTGGAAGATGGTCCTTGCCAGAGATTGAGGTAATTAATTCAAATTGATTGGTGTGGCCCAGACACGGTTAATTTAAAAAGCGGAAGTATACCCTAAAATCAAATGTTCACCAGTTGAAGTCTTCGGGGTGCTGAGTCGAATGGTCTTGGTCCGAGGAAGCTGAAACGTTCCCTTCCTGCTTTATTCCCGATCGAACTCGCCACTTCCACCGAAACTGGGTGACTACGCCCTACTAGATGGGGATTTGTGTGCAAAATGTCACCAAAAGCGCCATTTCGTTCTTATAAAAGCACGGATGATCACGATTGGCCCATATGTTGTAGTCTTTTGGACGCCGAGTCGACTGGTTTTGGTCCGAAAAGGCTGCGATGCAGCGTTCGACCATAATTCCCAATCGAACACGTTTGAGTAAGGAGTCACGTGCTCATGCGTACACCAGTCACCTGGTCACCATGCCCGCAGGCTACAACTTACAGCCTGTTTAAATTAAGCGCTTTCCTGTCAGTCGAGTTGAACCTTTGAACCTTGGTGTGAAAGTTGTAGCCTCCAGGCACAATGACCAGGCGACTAGTGTACGCATGAGCACGTGACCGCCTACTCTACCGTGTTCGGTTGGGAATTAGGGCCGAATGCTGTATCGCAGCCTTTTCGGACCAAAGCCAGTTGACTCAGCGTCCAAAAGACTACAACATATGGGCCAATCGCGGTCATCCGTACTTTTATAAGAATGAAATGGTGCTTTTGGTGACATTTTGCATACAAATCCCAATTTAGTAGGGTGCAGTCACCCAGTTTCGGTGGAAGTGGCAAGTTCTATTGGGAATAAAGCAGGAAGGGTGCGTCTCAGCTTCCTCGGACCAAGACCATTCGACTCAGCACCCCGAAGACTACAACTGGTGAGAATTTGATTATAGGGTATACTTCCCCTTCAAGGGTGCTGTGAGGAGGATGTTTCTGCCGACAGAAAACTATCAGTCCTTTACTATTCTGTGTGTGAAACTACCACTATACTTCGTACCTGCTTCCTCTATTGCCTGCTTCTATTGCTCCGTACCAGAGAAACTTGGTGATGTGCATTGCCATGACAACTACAAATGTAGCATTGGAATGTCATGATAACTACGTACAGTAGTAGCATTGACTTGTCAGTTTGAGTACTCTGGAAAGGTGCGCTTGCGCCTGGTTTGGAAAATTTATTTTTCATTTATATCAGGTTTGGCCTCATCTGTTCTGAGCTGATGAATTTATACTAAGGACGAAACAGGTCTGCCTGCAGATTGAGTACTTCGAAATTGTAGCTTTGGAATGTCATGACAACTGACTATTTACAACCTGGGTATAAGCCTGGGGTATACTGCAATGAAGCATTACCAACCCGAACTGACACACCGTTGGTTTGTGGCAGCTGCTGTATCTGCTAATGGCCCTCAAGTGCACTGTTTCTTTGCATATGCACACAAAGAGCAGTACTCTGCCAGTTTGCACCATAGACCGTGTTAATAAGTAAAATTCTGTTCTTCTATCTTCAAACTAAAGTCTACCATCACCATGTATTTATGTACACTACAGGAAATGAGTTTGCAGGTATTTTTGTATGGTCCGCTCTCTCCTCTCGTTGCTGGTCGTCATGTGGACAGTATATCTTCTTCGATACGCAGTGGAAGAGCCAGCAAGTAAGGACGTGTTATTTTTTTTAACTAATGCAAAAGAACTACAGTCTGTCCACGAAAAGAATGCAGTGTGACTACAGCTTATATTTCACAAGCGGAAAATGTGAACAACACAACAAAATTGTGGTGGATGGAAAATAGAATGCTCTTGATAAAATGTATACGGCCACCACTTGTTTAATTCTTTGTTACGCGCCAGTTCAACTCCCAGCATCATATGCGAGAGGTGGAAAAATAAAAAAAGTTGCAAAGAATAAGAAAGGCTCATCAGAGTGTGTAGCACTGTATATAGCACAATAGCTCGTGCATGGTGTACATTCGAAAGAAAAATCGTACATCGAAGCACAAAATCTGGGTTATCAGCATGAGTAAATATTCACTTTGGACAGAGGAGGCAACCGTTAGTGTCCATGCTTCGCTGGGTTATTGTACTCAGCCTTCAGCAGTGGTGCAAAGAGCTCCGGAACGACGCATCCTCTCAGCTTCAGGCGATCAATGCGGTCTGGTGTAAGCTCATAGAATACTGATTGCAGTTGCCGAACAAATGATTTACCAACGCTGGCCTCGAGGCCATTTCTGGATCCCAGCTTCGACGTATGCAACCAGTCCACGTGCATGATGACTCGAACGATCGTACACTCACTGTATATGTGATTTTTTTCCGAAACAAATTAAAACACATGCGCACGATTTGAGGGACCTTTGACTGAGTTTCAGTCTGTTGAAGTTTCGCATTTGAATTTGAATGAGTCGTAAACGACACATCCAAGTGTGAGATTGCTTTCAAAGGGTTAAGACTTACACTTGCTTTGTGAAGACATTGTCCAGAGCACAGATTTTATTTCTCCGTATGATCTTGAAGTTTGATTGGATAAGAAACACCTGGTATACTATGCACACTTTACTGTTCTCCATGGCTCCCCATGGCGTATGTCTTGCCAGAAGTCCACTGTGTCTACAATGGGAAATAGCGACTGTTGGCTCCGTTCCTACACACCACTAGAATTAATTAACAGGAAGCAAAGAAAGCTTGTACACAAAGCTATACCCGAAGCTTGTGATCCTGAAGAGGAACCGGCCATGCTATGCCTGTTTCTCAGTGATGCCATCTGTCCTTGCTGTATTGACTTGTCCCTGTTGAATCAATGGATTCTATTGCGTGCTGTTTCTAGACTAGGCGTTTGCCTGAGACGCTGCATGTTCGTATTTTACATGAAGGCCTGATTGCTGCACCTCGCAGTGCAAGTGCTGGTACATGCGTGCCGCGGTTTCTCGGTCTGTGCGTGACTGAATCACTGAACGTGTGCTTGCGGTGACAGTACCTGTTTGCCATTCATGTATCTGGTGTACAGTTGCACCTCAGTACACATATCGTGCACCCAGTATCCTTTCTAAGGTTGAGCCCGTGTACTGCCTGCGTGCAGGGGTATTGGTCCGGTGCTGGTGTGTTTTGAAGTAGTTGCTTTTATCCACGTCCGGACAAGTAGTTGTCCGTTCGTCTTGCTCTCCCAACCCTACTGCCTTGCGTTCCTATTTCCTGCAAACCTTAGTTCCTTTGCCTCAACCAGACTGTTGCCTGTGGTGGTTCTGCGTGTTGCGTGTCAGTGGCGTGGGGTCGTGAGGGAAGGTTCGTCTATAATCCTTTCCCCTACAAGAAATCAAGGTAGGGAGAAAGGGGGTGACTTTACTGCTATATCCAAATAATTTTTCTGGTTGTCTTTATTTTATCTTGTTCTGGTCACCAGGCGATTGTGTGCGTTAATGTGGCAACAGGAGAACTGGCACGCCTATCTCCCGGTAAGTAGTGTGTGGGTGGGGTGGGGATGCATATGTGTATGTGTGTGTGTGGGGGGGGGGGGGTGTCCCTTGTTACACAACGACGATGTGACTCGCCCAGCTGAGTCGACTATTACATTTTCCTCAGCATCGAGCAGGAAGCCCTTGCAGTAGCGCTGGGTTTTGGGACTCCGTCACTGTCAAACCATTTTCTGCCAAGACGGGCACCAATTTCCCTCTTGCCTCACTTTGGATTTTCTCTTGTAGTACTGCAACAGAAATTATTTTACCTCTTCCAGATTGCTCCAAAACTTGTCCAGGCTCTGGTCCTTCGTCTTCGGTTGTGGTTAGTCACTCTGCGTTTGCTGCCAATGCGAATGCCTTGCAGATCTTTTTTCAGCTGTCATAAAGAACTCGCCCAACTACCTAGAAAGTTAGATCCTACGAGGCTAAATCAACACAACTACGACTGAATGCACCAACTTCGAAGGACAACTAAAGCAACCAGGAAACTTCTACAGTAATTACTGCTAATTACGGTCTGACAATTACAAACAAACTGATCAATGGAGGGAGAGTACTGAACTGTCATACAAAGAGCCCCAACAACTGATGACTGCGTAGTCATTGAGCAAGAAAGTGATAGAGAAGGGACTAACACCAACAGTCAAATCAAGTGCCCACTTTTTTCCCACCTTTTTGCTGAACTCGTAGATCGTGCACAAAACCTAACTTCCGACATCATAATCCTGACATGCAAGAAAGTCTAGTAGGATGATGACATGTGTATTCACAGAACAGAAAATCGATTCTGGATAGTACACCTACATTCCCAACACGTTGCATGTTGCGTGATGATGTCTGCAGCCTTCCTTTATTCATAGCTTTCATTAAATTTTGAAGATTGTCTCCTTGCAGTTTGGTTGATAACTTGATATTATTGTGCTTGTGTATCTTCTCAGAGTCTGAAATAGGCTGCTGGTCGGTGCTGGATATTGTGGACAACCTTGTGCTGGCAACTTACAGCAATCCATCAACCACTCCTGGTTTGGTAAGCTTAGAATTATCTTGTATTCACCTACTTTGTATTGAGTAGGGAGTGGTGGTTTCTGGCAAGTTTATCGAATGTATCATTCCACGTGCAGTCTTATGTGCCCCGCATGGCAGTCGTGAGTCAGTCAAGTGTTAGTCAGGTCCGCTGGAGCAGGAGCTCCGTGTTGATCATGGCCAAAGTGATCCGACACACGTGTCGAAAGCAGTGCGAAGGCTCATGCGACCCCTGCAGCCCTCGGGTCGGTTTTTGGAACGCCAGATGTAATTGAAATGGAACCACGGCGCTAGTTTTGACTCACCGGTTGGATTTTTTGACCACGACTGTAGTTACTGGTGCTGATGAGTCAGTTGGTTTCCTTGCCATATCCGTTGCAGTGTACATGTATTGTGTGTGTGTCCCAGTGTGTGTCCCAGTGTGGCATGTGCTAGATTTGTATTTACTAATATTTTTAGGTATGTGAACCAGCACTTTGGCCAGATGGTTGCGACCGAACCAACGCTTTGACCCTTTCCCACGAATAATGAGGTCCCGAGTTCAAGACCGTCACTGGCAGCAGGGAGCATGTACTGGGCTAACAAATGTGGTGATATATGTGTGAACCATTTTACATGCAATGAACTGTGCCGGCACCCACAGTTAACTGGGTTCTCACTACTCGCAGTGAGGGTAACATGGATGCAGCTAATGAAGTTTCTCCTCCTGTCTGGAACGGGTTATGAGACTTACGGCCTCACTTTCACTACTAGGCGCTGCATCTGCCACCTTGGTATAAACAGGCATGGTGGTGGTCCAGCACGAACAAAGCGTCCTGAGCTAGTTGTGTTTCTGAGCGCTATTGATTAGCCAGTGGTTACGCAGTTGTCCGAACCTTTTTTCATTAGGTGTGCATGCACTGTGACTTTTCTTTGTTTTACTGCAGAAAATTCTATCTGTAGATTGCAGCTCAATGGAGAGCGTAAGAATGAGTCGGAAATGGTTGGCAATCAGTAAGTGAACTGGGTGTAGTGTTGTCTTTTGTTGTAACTTGCTCACATTTTGATTTGGCCACGAAACAACCGGCATGAAAGAGATGTTCATCAGCGTGAGGGAGGTGAAATGTTTAGAAAAAGGTTGGATGAAGTTGTCGACTGTCACCACCAGGACTCGAACAAGAGACCTTTACCTTAAGCAAGGGGTGCTCTACCACTAAGCTATGGTGTAGTCGTCATGCCAGCAGCAGCGGCCGTTCGTCACCGTCCTTTAAAAGAGATAGCCGCATAGTATGGCTTTGTGCTCAATTCTCCTCCAGGTAAACTTGTGCTCAGCTAAACCAGTCAGCAATAAGGAAAAGCACAACAGCAGAAACTGCAACTATACAGAAAGATCATGAAAGGGGAGGAAAAACCGAACGGAAAATAGTGGAGCACAAGTTATGCGTTAGAGTCCACCAACTGGACCTGATTTTGACCAGTATGGCCAAGAGTACATAACCCCCCAAGAGTGTGCAACCTGACTATGGGTGCTGTCCCGACAGAATTTCAAGTTGACGTCATTTTTTAAGATACAATGTGCACTGTGCACGGATTATCAGACGAATCCGGAACCTGTGGTAGACCAAAGCCCATCTGATCGGGATGATGCAATTATATCTGTTATCCTGTACAAATTACTGTAAGACCAGTAATGTTAACGAACATTTAATTCTAACGAGTTAACGAATTTGAAAGAATCGTTAACGTTTGAAGTCGTTATGTGCGAAACGATATGTGCATGTACAGTCATATGCCGGTTTTGAGACAGAATTCGTTAGAATTTCACCTCGCTAAAGGGGCCATCCGTAAATATAGATATTTATTTAGAAACGAAAACTAGTCGTTTAGGGGGGAGGGGGTTTAGCGCCTGTTCGTTTCTCGAAAAATATCGGTGCACAGTTGTATGTGTGGGCACGTCCAGAAAAGAAAAGAAAAAATATTGATGCTATGCAGCGTTTGTATGTGTTCGTTTCTGAGGGAGGGGGGGGGGGGGTTGAAGAGAAACGACTAGTTTTCGTTTCTAAATAAATATCGGTATACGGATGGCCCCTAACCCACACAAATCCGGAGATCGTTAACTTTCATTGACGGTAACATCCCACTGCACGCACAGACATTGAAGACAAGGTTTGGGCTAGACTGGAACTCACGCGGGGGAAATGGGGTTAGGCTTACACGCAGGCCACCACATGGTAGGACGAATGTGGAGGGGGCCGCTAACAAGGTTAGGCTTACACCGCACTTTCACATGGTAGGACAGATGTGGAAGTAGGCTGCTAACGGGGTTACGATTACACCCGGACATCTGCATGGTAGGACGAATGCAGAGGGGCTGGTAACCTGGAGTTGGGTGTCAGCTCAAAGGCTTACGGGGTGCTTTGCAGCCACCCACTCCATGTGAATGCCACCCAAAAATGAAATTGCTGGGGGGAGGCGTGAGCCCCAATCTAGCTGACCTTAACATGGGAACTACATGCAAGGGCACAGTGACGTTCAAGGACATAAATGCATTTGAGTCTACAGCAGATAGTGTCAAGATGACAGGTGCCATCACCTATGCAGGGAGCAGCACGGGAGAGCAAAAGCATTCATACAGAGAGGAGTGCTAGGAGGGCAGTGCGGACGCTCCTGCCGCCAGCAGTGCTATGGGGGGCAGTGTGGTCACCACGACCTATAGCAAGTAGTGTTAGGGGGCAGTGCTGTCACTCATACAGCAGATAGTGTCAAGGGGGCAGTGCCGTCACTCAGGCAGCTGATAGTGCTAGGAGGGCGGTGCATGTACTCACGCTGTCGCCAGTGCCTTCGCGATTGGCTCCATGTCCGATTCTGACAGACGGACATACCGGAGGTAAGCGTTGCTCCGCCATTGGCCGGCCCTTTGGATGACATAAGGTGGCAGGCCATTCCTTCCGGCGGCTGTGGCTGCACCGATACGCAGACTATGGCTGGTGATCTTCTGGCCAGGGAGAGCTCGGCAGAGTAAGTCGTTCATGTCTGAGGGGCAAAGCGGCTGGCCAGACTGGTAGCGGAAATACGCTCCCGCCACTCGGGGGCGCAGCTGTGCATACTTCGAGAATGCGGCTACAGGGAAGGTGCTATCGTTAGTGGCGCCGACCGTCACATCGCTGCCCTCTTCCAGTTGCGTTGTTTTGGAGAACGGGATAGCCAGCCTCACTGTGTTCTCCCGGATGCAGACGCGTTCCTGCGTCAGCATCTTCCGCGGGTCGGTGGAGGCATACTCGCTGACTCGCAGGAACCCGTAGTAGGCGAGTGTGATAGCGCTCCAGAGCATGGCTTGGTCCGCTGGTGATAGACCGGAGTGCGGCAGGAAGCCCCGGATTGCACGGAGGTGTTGCTGCGTGACAGCACGGCGTTCCTGCACCTGGCTGCTCGTGCACTGGTTGCGGGCGATACCCTGGAGCAGCAGGTCCAGTCGTCCGTCCTGGAACAGGAACAACGACAGGTGGTTGACCACGCAGTAATGCCGGAGGCCATGGAGGTAGACCTTGATAGTTGCCAGCCGGCACTTGGATGACATGTATGCTAGGAAATCCAGTAGGCGGGTGGCCTGAATTGGGTATGGCGCGACACGGTGCAGGCTGGCATACCTCCCACAGTGGACACACAGTGGACGTACCTGGGGCTGAGGTTGCTGTTTGTGCTGCATCTTCCAAACAGTCCAGTCGGTCCATAAACGGTTTCAGGGCAGTCGCTATTGCCGCGGACACGGAGGCGACAGGCATAGTAGGTTCGCGGGTCTCCCTGTCCTCGACAGTTTGTCGGGCAGCCTCAGCGGGGGTCTCAGAGGACTCCGCGTGGGGTCCGACTTGGGATTGCATCAACCGAGCAAACAGCTCCGCTTTCTTGCCGGCGGGACTAAGTCCCCGTTCCACGAGGTTGAGGCGTAGGTCCCGCACAGTGAGTGTACTGACCGCAGGGGAGGCCATAGTCTCGAATGGAAAACGTTGGAGGTACAGGAAAATTTGGCAAAGAGCTAGTGTTGGAGCAAACAGCAAGTGAGAGTGGTAAGCAGCAACAGGAACAAAGAGCACGAGTGCATGCACATATGGGGTCAGATGCGCTGGTAGGTTCAGCTGACGACAGAGCTAGAGGGGAACACGCTCCCGCGTGGCGCGAACCGTGCCCGTGTCACGTGTACAGCGATGTGCGTGGGCAGCTCAACGACAGCGCTACGGGTAGATGTGGAATGCAGTGTGAAGTAGCGGCATCGCTACGGGTAAATATGGAGTGCTATGTGCAGTAAACGCAGGTGGGCACGCGCTGAGAGAGCGTTACGTGCGTGTTAACTACAGTTAGTACTACGTATAAACTGAGATCTAAAACACCTTTTCTTACAGTATTGCAAAGAAAAACGTGTGATGTGTTGACACCCGTACACATGTTGTAAATCACTGGTGCAAGGAGCGTTGCATCATAAATAATGACGTTAACTTGAAATTCTGTCGGGACAGCAGGATATGTGGGAGTTGCACACTCTTGGGGGGTTATGTACTCTTGGTATGGCTTGCACATTTAAAACACACTGACGAGGAGTTTTGAGACACTCCACGCAGCATGGGAGTGAGCTTGAGCACTGCCCGATAGCGCTAACCAACGGCCTTCCAACTTGGACGGTTCATGGATATTAGTGATAATTCCAAAGAGATCAAGAGGAAAGGGGATAGTCGGCATGCAACCAGGGTTTAACGGCCATTTAGCCAGGAAATTCAGGCTTCGAGTACAGTGTGTCAACTTCACTCTTGCTCAACATGTACCGTCCCAGCCACCTTAACAGCAAGTGGTACTGTACCTCAACATGACTGTACTGCTGACATTGGTTTGTGCTCTGTTTGGGTATTTGTGTTTGTGCGTTATAGCCACTCCCAGGCAACTCGCAGTTGACTTCAGGATTGTTGATCTTCTTCCTGAAGACTCACACCAAGCAGAGAGTGAAGCAAGTACGCATGCCCATATTTGTTTTCACCTCTCCCATTTATCAGGATGACCATACAGATATTTGGATCAAGTCATGATTTTAACCTTCTGCTCATTTCTTATCCACGATGCAGTTCAAGACTGGCTCCCTAAGCCAGAAAGGCATGTGATTAGCGGAGAGGTTATAATCCTAGCTGCTCGCGGCTTGTGGTTTCAACTCTAACTTCTTGTAAAAGCATGTCTCTACTGCACTTGTATTGGTGTTTACCTGTCCTCACGTACACAGGCGCTAACAGGCGCTTAGCGCCGTATCCGTAATTTCGCAAACAAAGCAGCTAGAGTTTGCCGTACCATGTCCGCGAAACGCCCAAAACAGGCCGAGAGTCCCGTGATGAGCAGAAGAGTGCCTTACTGCGCAGCGCAGTGTGAAACTGGGAGCCCGACGAGGTAGCATGTAAATACTGGTGTTTTACTGCTCACTTGGGGTGAAGTGACTACACTGTGCAGTTTTTGTTCCAACTTGCTGCTCCCTGCCATTCGAGGAAAAGAAGCATGTTTGTTTGCAAGTCCAGATGTCGGAGCCTCCAGCAAAACGTTTGTAAGAAGTAGCCGATAGTACATGTACATGTAGTTCAAGATCAAAGGAGAATGATGTACAGACTGCTGAATCAGACTCGATGAATTCTCTCTCGTGCAGTTTACCGCAAAAATTCCAAATAAAATGAGCTGGCTGAGCCAGTATCCTTGACTGTAAAAATGAAAATACCGGTAGGTGAATTTTGTACACTATGTCGCGTCACATGACCTTCCGAAGCAGGCTGAAAGGGGTTACGCTATGCCCCTGCATACGTGTTACATTCTTACCTCAGCACCAGCACTACATCATGAAACCTCTGCATCATCAAATAGTGTATGATAATCCAGAATTTCATGTGGGTTTGGGTGGGTGATAAGTAAATGGTGGGAAAGAAGTGAATGAGACATGCTCTTCTTGTGGTTTTCCTGTTCCTATGTTCTACAGGTCAAATTCCATTTCAGGCCATCTTTATCTGTCCACAACACACAGATGAAGAGGCAAAGCGTAAAGCACATCCTTTGGTCGTCTTTCCTCATGGTATGGGAGTATTTGTGAGCACACTTGTATGAGTGTATGTATGTACAGTGTGGCTGAATGAAATCCGATCTCGTCACTCGAGTTTGCGCCTTGTACCATTTGGCAGCCTAGTGTTCGCAGGTCAGGGCTGCGCTACGCCCGGCGTGTACTTGAGTGACGTGACTGGATTTCATTGAGCGGCACTGTATATGCATGTGTGCGTGTGCATGCCTGCATGTGTGTGTGTACTATACAATCATGTTAATGCATGTATGCGTGCAGGAACTTTCACTAGTAAAGGCCAGAGATACTCTAACCGCTGAGCTATGGTGTAGTCGTTTGTCATCAAAGGAGCGGCTGTCTGCGGTGGGGGTGCGTTCGTATAGCTTACTGTCTCATTGGCTCTATGTATATTGTATATTGCAGGGACTAATTTAACCGGTATCGCATCGCAGTTTGCTACGCAATTCTTCTGAGGTGCGAGGCAACTTCAGAAATGTGTCGCAGAAGACTGCGATACCGGTATTGATTGTTCACTGTACCCTATGATGCACAGTGTACATGCAGGGTGTGTCTCTTAGGGATAAAATAGATGCACAAAACTTCGAAAGCGCTGAGCTATGCATCCTGGCACCAGGTTAGGTTTGCAACTAAGGTGTTACAGTGTACTTGTGGTCTGAACTTGCACTCTGATCAGCTCACCGGAAGGGCGGTTGTCAAGTGTTGAAGAAAATTGCTACGCAACATTTTGGAATTGCTATTCAAGTTTGATTTCGCATAGCAAAGTTGCTATGCGAAAGATTGAAAGTAAATTATTCCCTGTATTGTATGTTGTGTATTGTACACTGTATGTTGTGCCATGTGTGTCTCCTGTTATGTGTACTAGGTGTGTCATTGCATAGGTCTGTGGGGACTGCCCTCGTAAACTATGAATAAATAATAATAATGTGTCAGGACGTCGAATGTCTCAGTACTCTGTCAGTTTTGTGCCTAGTTATTGCACTTTCTGACTGTATATAGTATCAAGAGTAGATAAACAAGAGTGTGCAACTCCGGATGGATTGGCCCACGGCGGAATTTTTTGTTGACGTAATCTTTTCGACGACGCACGCGCTGCGAGCCTTTTGGAGAGTTTTCCCTCGTGCACTTGGCTGGGCTTTACACTACAAGGTCGGTGCCCAGCACGTGCTCTCACACTGCTCTGCGGCAAAGCCGCGTTTCTCTGAAAAAAGGTGACGTAAACAAAAAATTCCGCCGTGGGCGCGGGGTATCTGCAGATTGTGCAGGAGAGATCCGGAGTTGCACACTCTTGTTTATCTACTCTTGATAGTATCCAGTCACAGTGATGGAGAGTTACTCTTAACTCGTATCCATTATGTCCTATTCCTTTCTACATTTATTTATGGCTCAATATCCGAGTTTCAAATAATAATAATAATAATTGCACTATTAAATGTAGAGAAGACTGCACCTTTTCAGAACAGTTTGATAGCAAAACGATTATCAGTCCATAGCCTCATCAGAGTGGACCACTCACTGGAAAATGTTTTTTTGGGGGGGGGGGGGGGTGACATGTTGAGGCTTGTTCTGAGGCACTTCTTTGTGTTGTGATCAGTGTACCGAAGTACAGAAGTGCCGCATGTTACAACTGCAGTAAATTCTCAGTAAGGCTGTACGTGAGAAATGAGTTATTGATAGTTCTTTAGGTTTGTGCTATACAGGTACAGCGATGTATGTAAGTCACTTTGGTGTATTGATTGTTGATGCAGGTGGTCCACACTCAGCATTTGTATGTAGCTATTCAGCTATGCTTGCTGCCTGCGCAGCTCTTGGTTTCTACACTGTAGCCGGTAAGTGATATAGCTGGCAAAGAATGAGTTCTGATGAATGTGAATTTTGTCAGTTTCTGTCTTTCTGACTCTGAAGTGTGACTATTTCTACACTCAACTGGGAAAGAAAAGTGGGTTTGTCAACTGACAACCGCTCTATTCAGTTGCTATTCACAATCTGCGCATGCGCTGCATTAACAATTCTTTTATTGTGTTGTTGGAAATTATTGACGTTTCGGGCCAGTCACCCATTGTCAGAACCATTTACCGTCAAGGGGCGAACCTGGCCTTTTAATAACGAAAGCAAGCGAGAGCGTATATATGTCCATGTAGAAAAGAAACGAAACATACAATAGCCGTATGAAATTGAATGTATGGATTTGCATGTACAAGCAGACAAAGAGAAGAGCGCTGAAAGAGTGTGTATGTAAAAGCTCAACAGATGAAGCGCAGGGAATATGTATGTTCTCTCTCACACCTCACGTTTGCAACAGCAAAACCGCAGTGCAGGGTCGGCTGCGGACAGCCACGTTGCAATATGTATGAAGGTATATACAACAATCATTGTGTGTACAACTTTGACACTCACACAATCCTCCATATGAAAAAATCAAATGGGTGCCAGGAAATAAATCGGTTTTATCATGAATTTCCTATAATATGCAGAAGGGCGGGGGGGGGGGGGGGGAGTGTGAGCGGCATCCCCACCATACATGGTGCCCTTTTTCTTTTTCTTTCATTTTTACACGTCTGTTCAGGATTGGAACAAAATTCATCTCTTGAATGCTATATAATTATGGCAATGTCTTGTTCTTCACAAGCAGGATACCTTGTTGAAGCGAACTAAGTTACTTCACTGCAGCATGTCAGTGTACCACGGTGTACGTGAAGGTGTTTGTTTGGACTTTGTTTTCTAAGTGACTTTTTTTCTCGATGTTTTCAGTCAACTACCGTGGCAGCTCAGGGTTCGGTCAGGACAATATTTTGTCACTGCTTGGCAAGATTGGTACCAATGACGTGAAGGATGTCCAGGTAACAACTTGATTTATTGCACTGTTGTTGTTGTTTTTGAATTCTTTATTCTCACGATGGCACCATCGCCAATAAGAGATTGTTGTTGTTGTTGTTGTTGTTGTTGTTGTTGTTGTTGTTGTTGTTGTTGTTGTTGTTGTTGTTGTTGTTGTTGTTGTTGTTGTTGTTGTTGTTGTTGTTGTTTGAAATCTGTTATTCTCATGTTGTTGTCGCCGTTGTCGTCGTCGCCATTGTCATGGTTGTGACCAGTGCTGTCACTGCTGGTGTTGGTATTGAGTTGAGAGCACCTTTAAATGGTAATTCAACGGTGGAATAAATATCAGCATCCGAGCTAGCAGAGGGCTGATCACCAAACCGAAAGCCAGTCTCTATGCACTGACCTGATGTCTGCACTGACCTGATGTCTGCACTGACCTGATGTCTGCACTGACCTGATGTCTGCACTGACCTGATGTCTGCACTGACCTGATGTCTGCACTGACCTGATGTCTGCCAGGTATACTAGTATGTGTTGTGCTCAGGGCTGAAACGATCACTCAAGAACTCCTAACAATTAACCCATCTCATTTAAACGGCCGATAGATTTGTTTTACCGTTTCTTGCCGGCTGTACGTGTGTACCTTGAGCAACAGGCTATGAAGACATTTCATGATGCCGTTGCGAACTTCCTACATTATGTGTGATCACCAGTCAAACGGTCTAAAGGTGCCCGGGGTCAATTATCGCTTGTTGGGTATTCTGCTGTCCACAGTTGGCGGCACCCGTGTGGTTGGTCTTATCAACATGATCTAGGTGATGTGGTTGGTCTTATCAACATGACCTAGAGGATGTCATGTTGCTTCTAGACTGAAGATTCTTGTCGTCACACTCTGGAAACTGCACTCTGCCGCTCTCCATTGTAAACTCTTCAGCAATCCGTCTGGCCCGCACTATCAAAAATATGCCTATGCTGGTGATGTATTCAAGCAACCAATCCTGTTTTGGCTTGTAGCTCTCAGCACTGACATCTCACACATATCAGCTGAAAAGACACCGTTTTCTCTCC